GAAGTCCGCTCACTGATTCGGCTTAAAGTAGGAATCGTACCAAAGATGAAACTGAGTACTCACTGATGGATTCGATTCCTGCCAGTAGTCGTTGGTGAGAAGGCACTGACCGCATTTCCAAGATATGAGCAGTGCACGCAACACTGAAACACCGTTGGCACCAACATGATGTCTTCTTGAAACCAGAAGGTCGCGTATACTGCCTTACGCCGCGGTCAGTTCTACTTCGCGGTTGCTAGACCCTAAATTTGCAGGTGAAAAACATTCATGGTATAGAAGTCTTCGGCTGTCGATGTGTAGTTGAGTGCAGGTTGGTTGGAGCGAGTTGGTAATTAATGCTGAAGTAAGCCGTCTACTATTTATTAATGATCCTATAGAGAATTCACTATCACGTCGACTTCAAATTAGTAGGATGTCTGTCGTCTATCGCATCGCACCTTATTTTCACTTATCGCTTGAGGTTGACGGAAATCACATAGAGGTCAACATATGAGGTAGAAACGAGGTATGAATAAATTCACAGAGCAGTAGAGTAGGTGTATCCCACCTAATAGGTTTGGGGCTCAAAGGATTCTGAAATTTTTGGGTCAGATACACTGAAGGATATGACCGGTAACCGATAGTAGTGACTTTCTCGTTGTCACTGTTTATCCGGTCAGAATAATTGAAAAGCTATAGATGCACGATAAAGTTACTTACTCTGTAGTCGGTCAGACTGTTAATTGTTTGATACGCTGCTAAACTAACAGCTACTGATTATCGACATTGTACACCTGAATTTACTTTTCATCTAAACAATCCTGGTCTCTCGAACTGGTGGATACTCATGTCATACGGTTCAACCCGAACGAATAAATGCGTCATTCGTTCGCAATCAATAACAGGGTCGGTGTAGTTCTCTAATTTACGCCCTCACTAGTACATTTCACTGCATATTTGAGTTATATATTTGTAAATCATGTTCAGCCTAAAAATTTATTTCCTCATTTTTCATACCAATCCCCGTCCAGTATCCTGAAGACCTGTTCGAGTTTAACTACGCTAATGACTTTGCTATTCGCGGTTTGCACTTCGACGCTAAGCGGGTAAGCTGTCAAAGGCCCAATGTGGGTCATGCATTATTCTTCTACTATATATGTATATATTTATATATAAATGAAAACTCACACGCCAAAGACACCCAATCAGTCAACTACTTGGGAGCGTTTTGCATATGTTTGTGTGACGGACACGCTCAGGCAGGCAGGGCTTACTTCAGTC